AGCCGGGCTATGGGACGGGGTTCAGGGTTTATAGGGGTTTAGGGTTTAGGGTTTGAGGGGTTTAGGGTTTGGGGTGTCCCCACTGGCTCTTAGCCGGGGGCCCCGGAAATGAATGAGACAGCAACCTACCGTCAAATACCCTCTTTGAAGCCATGAAAAGGGTCCTTGAAATCATAAGCCCAACCCGGACCTCAGAGGTGTAGGGGTCGACAAGCCATGGAAATAACATAGGGTCTAGGGTGCAAGCAATCAAGAGAGGAGTACAAGAGTCCGAGAGTCTTGGGATAGTTGAGCAGGAACAGATAATCCCCCAAACTCTGCCTGGAACACCGGAAGCTCCGCAATCCCCAGAAACAGCCTCTTATGCCTCTGTAGAATCTGGCTATAGTAACCTACCTCGAATATGAAGCCCAAGTGGTCGAGTCTCGAAAGAAAGCTGGCCAGGGAAGGGAAGACGGTCATGGCTGAAGGAAAGGCTAAAAACCTCTGCGAATTGTGTGTCCTCGCTTTCTGGAGCCAGCTGCAGGCGTGCCAGGGGGCTTAGGAGGAAGTTTGCGGTGTAGAAGGCTAGACCCAAGATAAACCTGGGAATAGAAAGGGTGCCATTTTTTGGTTTGAGGCTTATAAGGGAACCTAAACCCGTAAAAAAGGGTAATAAGGGCCCACTCTGGGCCCTAGACAGGTTAAGGGTCGAGACGATCTTCTCTTCACCCAGGATTGCTGTGGCACCAGGCACCAACATGCCGTCTGTGCGAAGATGGTGGTTGCTGTACAGCGGAGATGGTACAATCCCGGGGCCTTAGGGACCAAATGAGCCCTAAAAGTTTCCCTAAAAGGGCTTATGGCTCATATGCCTTAATAGGAATTATGGTAGCATAGGGAATATGACCCCAATTTCAGGGCTCATTTCGTCCTTAAGGTGCTTGCTGCAAAAAGGCAACTCCAAGCGAAAAGCGCGCCCCCTGCTGCGCTGAGCAAGCCGGCATTCTGAATTCGGCCCCTGCGTTCCCCAAAAGCCTGCAGAAAGATGGGCGTGTCTCAACTTGCTTCGGGTAACACCGGCGAAGCAATCGTTGTAGTTTTGGGTTGAAGGGTGCGGTACAGGACCAAGGAATGTTGAGACAAGCCCAAGAAGAGGGCCTGCCCTTGCAAGTAGAGAGATTATGGCTTAGGGTTTAGGGTTTGGGGCTTATCACTGCTGGCACTTGGGAAACCTCATGCTGCGAGTATGGTGGCGTACGGTGTGGCTAGCCATGATGACCTGAATCGTCGGAAGCAACCGAACTTGCATGGGAAGGCCGCGAAGGTGATTTACAAAGCGTACACAGGGAGAACCGGCTAATTGCCTACTTGCTCGCTTGTCGTTGCGGTCGGTGCAAATGAACTGGACATCCCGAACTCTACTGAATTCTTGGATGTCCTGAACCCTAAACCCTAAACCCTAAACCCTAAACCCTAAACCCTAAACCCTAAACCCTAAACCTGCAATGCTATACAGCCTCAAGGCGTCAAAGCTCTGTCTGTTGACGCGAGAGTCAAGAGTTGTGAAAAGTTGCGGCAAGGATCCGTCCATCGTGCCTTCGCAGGGCAAGTGCCAAGAGCTCCAGAACCCTTCCCCCCGCAAGAACACTGCAATGGCACGGGGCAGACCCGAAAGGGGCCCCTAAGCCCTAAACCCTAAACCCTAAACCCCAAACCCCAAACCCCAAGCCCCAAACCCTAAACCCTAAACCCTAAACCCTAAACCCTAAACCCGCAGATGTGCGACCCAAACGCTTTGTACGAGGGGTTTCCAGTTGACTTAGACTCAACCATGCGCTTAAAAACTTGGCGCAAAAAATGCCCAGATTCTTACCTTGGTAGCCCAGTAACCATATCATAATAAGGGCACCCTGTTTTGGGTTGGCTATTTTATAAGGGGACACAGAACCAAAAAAAAAAGGGTAAGGCTACCACTGGGCTAGCAAGTTACTTTTCAAAGACTGCTTGGCCCTTTGACTTGAAGGGCATCTTCCCTGGGATAATATGATGCAGAGCCCCTATTAAAACCCGGAATCCGGGTTTAGGGTTTAGGGTTTAGGGTTTAGGGTTCTTGAAAAGCTACATGTTTCCTCCACGCTTGGGCGAGTGGCCTTTAGGCACTCCGCAGACCCACAGCCATGTCGTCTGCCCACCTGGGACATTGGGTGTTCAAAGTGAACGGATCTAAAGGCGTTGAAGGACCCTAAGCCCCTAAACCCATATGATATAATAGTTGTCAAAGTAGGCCCTTATCTTCCCCAACATGCTGTAGCCCTCCTTCATTCTAGGACCCACCCCAAAACTGCGCCCTAAAGCCTCTAACCCTAAACCCGACTGATCCGAAACTCCCAAGCAGGGGGAGCAGTTTTGGGACCGACCCCAACTCCTGACCTGCAACCCCCTATTTAGGGTTTAGGGTTTAGGGTTTAGGGTATACCCCTTGGGCATACTCCTCAAAATAAATTAAGGGGGTATGGTAGAATCCTCCTCATATTCTGCTTCTATAGCTCATAAATTAAGGGGGTATGGTCGCATCCATGCTACCATCCTTCCTGCTGCAGCCTTTTGATGCTCCGCTGCCGAACGTCTCTACACCCCCTACCGAACCTCCTTTCGCAGCATGTCTCCCTGGCTGGACTGTGCTCTCCCTAAAAATCTCTAAACCCTGAACCCTGAACCCTGAACCCTAAACCCTAAACCCTTTCTGCTGGGCTCCGGAGTTTAACGGTGCGAAGGCCCGGCCTGGGGCCACAGCGCCTCCGAAGGAACTTGGCGCCTTATCTTTGTTGCCTGGGTGGTTTAGGGTTTAGGGTTCAGATTTCAGGGTTCAGGGTTTAGGGCTAGAGACCATCCGAGGGCTGAGGGTCTTAAAGCGGTTCGCTGTTTCTTTCTGGGGTCTCTCCTAGTAGCTTTTGGGAGAACCTTCCTGCGTAAGGGTTTAGGGTTTAGGGTTTAGGGTTTAGGGTTTAGGGTTTAGGGTTTAGGGTTTAGGGTCTAAAAGGTACACGTGAAGGGACCCATCGACACAGAAGTCAAATTAAGACGATGCGAACATGTGCCGCAAGGGTTCATATTCCATACAGTATACCCTGAAGCTACTATATCTATATATATATATATGTTTGTATATATATATATAGGAAGCCGTTTACACGCGCAAACCCTAAACCCGAAACCCTAAACCCTAAACCCTAAACCCTAAACCCTAAACCCTAAACCCTAAACCCTAAACCCTAAACTACCCCGGAGATGTGCTCTTGGTGTTGCCGAGGGCACCGGGCCGTCCTCTTCTCGCCGATCCTCTCGAACCACTCATTCGTGAACTCGATGGTGTCTCCTTATAACCCTAAACCCTAAACCCTAAAACCTAAACCCTAAACCCTAAACCCTAAACCGCAACAGTGTACTTACTCCTCGTTGCTCAGTTCATAAGGCGCCGCAAAAGTGTACTGACTCCTTACTCCTAGTTGCTCAGTTCTAAGCCCCCCGAAAGTCTACACTTTCAGTTCTATGGGGGGGGATTATCGTACCCCAAGATGTGGATTATAACCCTAAACCCTAAACCCTAAACCCCAAACCCTAAACCCTAAACCCTAAACCCCAACAAGTGTAAAGTGTACTCACTCTGCTACTAAGTCGCGATAGTGGAAGGCAAGCGCTGCTGCCGGGCCATTCGCGGGACTTCCCACCTGGTCAGGGGGCTTAGGGTTTAGGGTTTGGGGTTTAGGGTTTAGTTGGGGTTTAGGGTTTAGGGTTTGGGGTTTAGGGTTTAGGGTTTGGGGTTTAGGGTTTGGGGTTTAGGGCTTAGTGCGCCTTATGTGGCAGCCTAGGGCATACAAAAGGGATCCTACTTCAGAGAGCTGCCCTGAAAGGGTCGAGATCTTCGGGGTACCAGCGAAGGCTTCTGTCGCACAAAGGCTGTGAGCATGTGGGCGGGTTTAGGGTTTAGGGTTTAGGGTTCCCCCCAACACCTGACTTAAAATCGAGGGGTTTGGCCGTGTTTTTGCTTCGGGCAGGGCCAAGCTGCCAATGTTCTTTGCATCCCCGCACATCAAACAACGCCCAGTGCCTGCCAGAAACCTACAGCAAACGTTTCTTGCAGGCACTAGACATCCTGGATCATGAAACCTGCCCGCAAAATTCAAAGCCCTAAGCCCTAAACCCAAAACCCAAAACCCCAAACCCTAAACCCGAAACCCAAAGAGCCAAAGGAAAGGCCCCATGAAGGAGCTGAAGCCCAACGCTCCACTTGCCGAACCTCTGGCCAGAAGGAGATGGGCGTGTTTGCTGCAGGTACTGGGGCCACGTGGCATCCTGGGTGCATGGAGAACTCATGAGGCCTTGGGTTAAACCCTAAACCCTAAACCCTAAACCCTAAACCCTAAACCCTAAATCCTAAACTACTACTTATTTTTGTACTTCTTGGAAGCAGAGACTTGCTACGACACAAGAGCTTCGTTGCAAGTTGCTGATTCCTCATATCTCTTCCCCTAATATTAGAAGGGACCCCCCCCCCCCCCCCCCCTCCCTCCCCACTATTTTGACATTGCAACTAGCCCTCCCCCCCGACCAAAAGATCTTTGAATACAAGTGGGATAGGTTTGGGAAAGAAAGGGAAAGAGAGGGAGAGAGAGGGAGGAGAGAGAGGGAGAGAGAGAGAGATGGAGAGAACGAGAGAGACCGAGAGAGAGAGAGAGCGAACGAGAGAGAGAGAGGGAGAGACTGAGACGGCGACGGAGAGAGAGAGAGAGAGAGAGAGAGGGAAAGACCGAGACGTAGACGGAGAGAGAGAGTGAGAGAGTTCGAGAAAGAGAGAGTGAGGGATCCTAGACCCCACCCACCCCCGAAGCCCTCAACCTACCGTCAAAGGGGCCCAGAGCGGCTCTGAAAGGGGGGGGAGGGATATAGAGGGGGAACAGGTCAATACCCAACGGGTCCCAGTCCAACAGCATTCCGGTAAAGTGGGCCAGAAGCATCAGGATCCCAGGAGGATCTAGGTATGGTTCTCACTCATCCGGGGAGGTGTTGGGGTTGAGCTGGCACCCTAAACTCTAAGTTCTAAAACCCTAAAACCTGAACCCAAAACTCTAAAACCCTAAACCCGAAAATCCTGAACTCTAAAACCCTAAACCCCAAACCCTAAAACCCCTAAGTTGGGCTCTCAGGAGGAGACAGTGGCCTGGCCTTTGTCACAGCTGTGTCCGTAGTGGATCGCCAGAGCCGCTGCCGGGCTATTCATGGGGCTACCAACCTCGTCAAGGCTTGGGGTCTTTGGTTTAGGGTTTAGGGTTTAGGGTTTAGGGTTTAGAGTTTAGGGTTTAGGGTTTAGGAGGTTTTTATACCGGGTGATTTGGCTTCAAGGGCAGTGGGGGTCTTGGGGAGGGTTTAGGGTTTAGGGTTTAGGGTTTAGGGTTTAGGGTTTAGGGTTTAGGGTTTAGGGTTTAGGGTTTAGGGTTTAGGGTTTAGGGTTTAGGGATCTTCAGGACTTTGGGGATCTTCAGGGCTTTCTTTGGGGCTTTGGGGGTTTAGGGTTTGGGGGTTTTTAGGGCTTCAGGGGCTTTAGGGGCGTTAGAGGGCTTTAAGGGCTTTAGGGGTTTCGATTTTTTTGGGGTTTGGGAAGGGGGGGGGGGAAGGCTTCGAGCTCGCAGAATCTATGATACAGGGGGCTTAATAACTAGAATAGGGTTTTGGGGGAGTTCATATGGTATAAAAGGGACCCTAACAGAATACTACTAGTCATTGTTCTGACCCTTAGACGGTTTAGGGTTTAGGGTTTAGGGCCCTTAGAGTAGGGTTTATAGCTCCATGCCCTCCTTGAGCAGCCCCCCCGAGCGCTATAGGATCCGGCGCCTCGTCGCAACAGAGGCTAACCCTAAACCCTAAACCCTAAACCCTAAACCCTAAACCCTAAACCATATATCCTCCGACCTTCGCGGCTTAAGAGTTTAGGCAGTGATGAACGTATGAACCCTAAACTCTTCACCCTCAACCCTAAAGGCTCAGGTGCTGTTTTTTAAACCACAAACGAGGTATAGGGTTCAGGGTTTGGGGTTTAGAGTTTAGGGTTTAAGGTTTCACCTTTTGTTTTTTGGGGAGGGGGAACCCTAAACCCTAAACCCTAAACCCTAAACCCTAAACCCTAAACCCTAAACCCTAAACCCTAAACCCTAAACCCTAAACCCTAAACCCTAAACCCTAAACCCCAAACCCTAAACACCATTATGGGTATGCAGGCTTGAAGTTAGGACAGCAAAGCTGTTGGTAAAAACCCTGTCCTAAAAGGCTCAGGACCAAGCCTCTGGAAAGAACGCGATGGGCGTGCATGCTGCGGGTGGCGTCGCCCTGCAGCAACCTCGAGGCGTAGAGGGATCATCTTCAAGGATTTAGGGTTTAGGGTTTAGGGTTTAGGGATCATCTTCAGTACGTCGTGAACATTTGAGGACAATGCCAAACAAGTCGTGGGAAGATGTATACCGGGTGCCACCTTGCTTGCAGCTAGGCAGCATGTGTCTAACTTCTGACAATCCTGCTACTTGTGCTTCCTTTGCTTGAACTTACGACTTCGGCCTTATCAGGAAGTGATCCCGGGATGATCAGGGTGAGATACTCATGTGATATAGGGGTCGGATTATAACCCCTTTATGAATATACTACAACAGCCCCCCAAACCCTGCTCTAATCATTAAACCCCCCTTTTCTCGCTCATCAGGGCTGAAAGCTGGGTCTTGAGGGCACCACCACCGGCCTTTTCGACAGCGTCCATACTGGACGGCGAAAGCAGTTGCTGGCCCATTCATCGGGCTACCGACCTGGTCACTGGGTTTAGGGTTTAGGGTTTAGGGTTTAGGGTTTAGGGTTTAGGGTTTAGGGTTTAGGGTTTAGGGTTAACCCTAAACCCGAAACCCTAAAACTGGGCTTCAGGTCCTAGGATGCTCAAAAAGGGTACACCTTTGTTGCTTAAAGGGGTTTAAGGCAACCTAACCCCCTCCAAAAAACAGGAATGAGGATACCGTAAGGTACTACGGGGCATCCCAGGGTCTCATTAGGGGTGAATTAGCCTCAGGGGCTTCAGGGGCCGTAGGATTCATGACATCTTGTGGCTTGAGGGTGTGAGCCCTTCACGTCTGGGGTGCTGGAGCGTTGAGGATTGGGGGAGGCCTCGGGATGACGAGGGTTCGAGCGATTGCACGAAGGCCACCCTCCAAGGGCCTAAGGGAGCTGTTTAGGGTTTAGGGTTTAGGGTTTAGGGTTTAGGGTTTAGGGTTTAGGGTTTAGGGTTTAGGGTTTAGGGTTCTTTGAGGCCCAGGGCACTTCTTTTGCAAATCTTTGGTGGACCCACCAGGCCAGGTCTACCCGGCCTCTGTCATCCACAGAGCCAAGCACATGAACCCCTTAATTACGATGCACTGATGCACGTGCCGAACCTCCGGAAAGGACGTGATGGGCTCGCATGCAGCTGGTTCCCGCCCCTTGCGGCATCCTGCGCGCGTTCTGGGGCTCACTACTCAGTACGTCTAAGTTACCCAGGTACGATGGCACAAGACTCGCGGAAAGTCTTTTTCGAAGGCCCTATATATACCCTTTAAGGGATTATATAGGGTACCTCATTCCCTCATTCCCTACAAAGAACCAGGGGGCTTATCTCGCCCCGGTGCAAGTTCGTTTGCACCATTCTTTGTCAACAATGGCAGGCTGCACCTCCTTCCTGAAAGGGGTTAGCTGGAGGTGGGCACTCAGGGGCCCTAAAACCTAAGCCCTAAACCCTAGACCCTAAACCCTAAACCCCAAACCCTAAAACCCTAAACCCTAAACCCTAAACCCTAAACCCTAAACCCTGACCAAAGGCACCCCAGCACTGTCCTCTGTCACAGCTGTCTCGATGATGGACGCCCGAAGCCGTTGCCGGGCCATTCGTGGGGCTTCCGACCTGGTCTGGGCCGGGTTCTAGGACTGGGGTTTAGGGTTTAGGGTTTAGGGTTTAGGGTTTAGGGTTTAGGGTTTAGGGTCTAGGGTCTAGGGTTTAGTGTTTAGCAACCAAAACCCTGCCTGCAAACCAAGAAAACAAACCCTTAACCCTAAACCCTAAACTCTAAAACCCTAGACCCTAAGCAAAAAGCTGCAACCCACCAGCTTACACCCTTCAACCCTATAAGCCCTAAGCCCCAAGCCCTAAACCCTAAACCCTAAACCCCTAAATCCTGCACGCGCCGAACCTCTGGCCAGAGCGCACCGGGCGGGCATGCTGCGGGGCATCCTCGGGTGCTTTGAGAGGGCTTTCGGGTTTAGGGTTGAGGGGTTTAGTGTTGTTTAGGGTTTAGGGTTTAGGGTTTAGGGTTTTGGGTTTAGGGTTTAGGGTTTAGGGTGGGTTTAGAGGTTTAGGGGTTTCAGGTTTTGAGGTGGAGTTTTTAGGGCTTGAGGGTTCTAGGGCATCCAGAGTTGAAGGTGGTCTATCACCGCAAAAGACTCGTGCAAGTCCAAAAGACGCCCTTTTCAAAGAACTGCTTAGGGTTTAGGGTTTAGGGTTTAGGGTTTAGGGTTTAGGGTTTAGGGTTTAGGGTTGTGGGATTAGTGCTTCGGGCTTCTTCAACTACTGCGACCTCATCAAGAAGTGACGTGTGGCAAGTGCCAGGCGAACTGGTGGCCGAATGTGCGTCGATTCGAGGTTCTAAGACCAACCCTAGGGCTCCCAACCGCCCTAAATAATCAGGGTTTAGGGTTTAGGGTTCAGGGTTTAGGGTTCAGGGTTTAAAGCGAGCCCTTGCCCTAAAGGGCATCAAGAGAAGCAGATGCATAGGTGGCATATTGCAGCTCAAGCTGGCGGCGCCTATTGTAGAAGACCTAACTTGACAGAAACCCCCATAAACCTCCTAAACCTTAAACCGTAAACTTCCAAACCCTAAACTTCCAAACCCTAAACCCTAAACCCTAAACCCCAAACCCTAAACCCTAAGCCCTAAACCCTAAACCCTAAACCCTAAACCTGCCCAGGCGCGGCTCACAGCGTTCTTTACAGGAGCGGCCTGGCACAGTTTCTGGGACATTCAGGGCTTTTGGGGCTTCCGGGGGCTTTCGAACTTTCAGGGTTTTTTGAGTTTTCAGGGTTTAGGGTTTAGGGTTTAGGGTTTAGGGTTTAGGGTGTTTTGAGTGTTTGGGCTTTAGGGCCGCAAGCCCCTGCAGCTTAGTTTGGGTTTAGGGTTGAGGGTTTAGAGTCCTAAGCACAAACCGATCCTCCTCCTCCCATTGAGCTCCAAAAGAAGATCTCTCCCAGGTAGGGAAGGGGGGGGGGGTCCGAATAGGGATTCTTTTTGCATGGGTTTGCCTACTACCCCCCCCCCCCCCCCCCCTAGCTTAAATAGTTTAAACTTAATTAGCCTGAAGTGTGGGGGGACTTAGGGGGGGTAGCTTAAAGGGGGTTAGTAGGGGATCCGTAAACCCAAAACCCTAAACCTAAACCCTAACCCTAAACCCTCAACCCTCAAACCCCAACCCTCAACCCTAAACCTCAACCCTAAACCCTAAACCCTAAACCCTAAACCCTAAACCCTAAACCCTAAACCCTAAACCCTAAACCCTAAACCCTAAACCCTAAACCCTTCCCCCCCCCCCCTCCCCTCCCTGCGCACCATGCCAACATCCAAGCCGAGGCCTGGTGCTTCTGGCACTGTGAGCAGTGACCACGGTGGCTTGGCTTCCTGGTTTAGGGTTTAGGGTTTAGGGTTGAGGGTTTGGGGTTTGGGGTTTGGGGTTTAGGGTTTAGGGTTTGGGGTTTAGGTTTAGGGTTTGGGGTTAGGGTTTAGGTTTAGGGTTTGGGGTTAGGGTGTTTCGGGTTTTCAGGTTTTAGGGTCCGGGGCTTGGGGATTAGGGTTTAGGGCTTCGGGCTCAGGGTTTAGGACGGTACGTGTTCATCGTCTTACTGAGTGCCCCTATGCTATGCAATCCAGCAAATATGTAGGCATAACAGCAAGAAGGGTCTAGATAAAGCCCTACACCCTAAACCCTAAACCCTAAACCCTAAACCCTAAACCCTAAACCCTAAACCCTAAACCCTAAACCCTACACCCTCAGCCCTAAACCACTCACATGTGATGCGCCACGGCAGTTCCCCCATACCTTCGGGAGGTTCAGTGTCCAGGGTGCAAGCATCAAGGGACCGGTATGGGGTTTAGGGTTTAGGGTTTAGGGTTTAGGGTTTAGGGTTTAGGGTTTAGGGTTTAGGGTTTAGGGTTTAGGGTTTAGGGTTTAGGGTTTAGGGTATAGGGTATAGGGTTTAGGGTTTAGGAGTTAGGGTTTAGGGCTTAGCTAGGGTTTAGGGTTTGGGGTTTAGGGTTGAGATAGTTGCACACCCTACAGGCATCGCACAGGAGTCACAAGAGCCTAACCGCAAACAAAGGCTGCCTCAAACACCTACTCCCTAAGTTGCTGAGTTCACAAGCCCCCCACCCAAAAAATGAAAAAACAAAAACATCAAGTGTACACTTTCAGTTCTATAGAGGATTGCAGTATCCCAGAAAGTGTAGTGTGTACTCATTCAGCTACTAAGACTCCATTTCAAATCGGCCTCCATGTGTCTTATAAAGGGTTTTCGAAATTTGGGGGTACCTTATTGGGGTCCTTATAATCAGGGAATCCTACTATCTGAGGGTCTATATTCAAGGGTTACCCCTATGTTCGTAAAAAACTAGACCCAGCAGTAACCTAGGATTAGCCCTTCTTTGTTTTCAGGGGATTCTAAGGGAACCTCAACCCAAAAACAAGGAAATAAGGGCCTACTCCGGGTCCTAATAGCCCTAAACCCTAAACCCTGTGATCGAGTCTCGGAAGAAAGCTGGCCAGTGAAGGAAACACGGTCATGGCTGAAACCTCTGCGAGTTGTGTGTCGTAATTGTCTTGAGCCAGCTGCGAAAATGGGCAGCCCTAAACTGTGAACCCTGAACCCTGAACCCTGAACCCTGAACCCTAAACCTTAAACCCTAAGACCCTAAGACCCTAAGACCCTAAGACCCTAAAACCCTAAACCCTAACCGCGGCTTGAGCGAGTTTAAGGTTTGGAGGTTCAGGTTTAGGGCTGAGGCCGCAGGGTTTAAACGACAAAGCCTCAAGATTATAGAGCTAAACCTCCTCGAAGTGCTCCTGTAAGGATAGGGTTTGAGTTGTGCAGGAGAAGAAAAAGGTTTAGGGTTCAGGGTTTAGGGTTTGGAGTTTAGGGTGTAGGGTGTAGGGTTTAGGGCTAGGGCACTATAACCTATTCTGTCGCAGCAATGCTAACTCAATACCCTCTATGAGCCTGAAACCAAGAAAATCCAAATAGAGCACACGCAGCTAGAAGAGCACCCGTGGGCCGCGTTGCGAAGTTTGTCTTCACCCCAGATCGCAAGAACGGCGGTGAGGCACGGAGGCTGCTGTCCGTAGGCAGCCTCCGTGCAGTCGCTGTACAGCGGAGGTTCTGCAGATCCTGGGGCACGGCATGCAGCCGCCAGCAGCTCCCAGCCCAAAGCGCGCCCCCTGCAGCGCAGAGCAAGCCCGAATTCCGAATTTCTGGAGCCCCTGTCTTCCCCAAAAGCCTGCAGAAGGATGGGCGTGTCTCGACCTGCAGAGGCCTTTGAGAGGCTTTAAGCGAACTTGGTGAGGTGTTTGGGTTGAGGGCCCGCAGGCCTATGGAACGTTGAGACATGCCCAAGTGGACGGCCGGCCCATGCAAGTAGGCAAGAAGAGAGTTGAGAGTATGTATGTATGTATGTATGTATGTATGTATGTAAGTAGGTATGTATATGTACATACTCATACAAATAATAAGAATCATAAAAAAGTGATAGTAATATGTATTATACTAATTATTCAGTATATTCATACAAAGGCTGTATGGGTAAACACGTTGAGGTGATGCACTGTGTGGCCATGAGCACCGGCCCGAAAAAAAGCGAACTTGCAGGGACAGGCCGCGAGCATTTTTACAAAGTGTACAGAGGGGAGAACTACTACTGACTTGCCCGCTGGTCGTTGCGGCCGCTGCAAATCTGATTCCCTAGACATCCAGAACCCCCAGCTGTGTCACGTGAACGGCTATAGGCCTAAGAAGCCTTAACCCTGTTCAGCCCTTAGATTCTTGTTGAATGCTATTACTTTGTTCCTTGGATGTCCTGAAATTCTGTACATGTCGACACAGGCTCAAAGCGTCAAAGCCCTCAGTCCGTTGACGCGAGAGTCAAGAGTCGTGGCAAGGATCCGTCCATCATGCCTCCGCAAGTCAAGGGCGCAAAGAGCCCAAAAGACCCTAAACACTAAACCCTAAACCCTAAACCCTAAAACCTCCCCCAAAAAGTACACACCACAGGGCAGACGGTGTGGGCAGGGAACCTCTTAAACCACTCTTGAATGAGACGTGTAAGGTGTACCCCACTTAGCCAGACCCTTTATCCACTTCCCACTAGTCTGATTATGAGAAGTTCACAAGCCCTAAAAAAACCCTAAACCCTAAACCC